AAATGTATTCACAGTCCTCACGTCCTTTGGAGCAGCTCTTTCTGTGCCCTCTCTCGGGGGTCTGGTAAGCAACACTTGTGTAAATCCCTTTGATTCAACAAGGTCTCTTCTAATTGCAGGAACCATTCACTTTAGGCCATTTTGATTGTTATCACAACCTTCATGAAAGAAACAAATTTTAGAAGAGCTTGCAGGATTTAAGAGTAGGGATTATTATTATTTGAAAGGCACAAATGGTGATGATGAAATCATCTGCTCCGCCCTTCAAACTTCCTTGTTCTCTCTGAGCTTAGCTGAAATCTTTACCAGAGCTGTGAGAGATGAACAGGGGTAGACCCATTCTACTGAGCTGTCCCTTGCGTAGAGTATTTTGGGGTAGCTGAGTCCTGAGTGTACAATTCTGTCTCTCTCTCTCTCTCTCTCTCTGTGTGTGTGTGTGTGTGTGTGTGTGTGTGTGTGTGTACTTGCAATAATATTGGCTGAAATCCTGCTGGAATGACTGTTATTGTTGAAGGAAGATGATGTCAACAGGGGGTACACACACACACACACACACACACACACAGGGGGAGACTGGAGTTTTGAACTTGTGGGGCATGGCTACAGGAACTTTTCCGATGAATGAGTGTACTTTGAGGGGAAAAATTACCAATGTACCATTGCCTAGGATAGCTGCTTAGTCTGGGTGAGAGTTTCATTTCTGAATCATATGATCTGTTGACAGCTCATACAACATTTGCAGGTTTCTGCTAACCACTGAAAGTATGACTTCAAAAGGTGCTAACTAGGTCCCCAAGTACTGTATTTTCATTCATTGTTTAATGAGTGTACTTTGAGGGGAAAAATTACCAATGTACCATTGCCTAGGATAGCTGCTTAGTCTGGGTGAGAGTTTCATTTCTGAATCATATGATCTGTTGACAGCTCATACAACATTTGCAGGTTTCTGCTAACCACTGAAAGTATGACTTCAAAAGGTGCTAACTAGGTCCCCAAGTACTGTATTTTCATTCATTGTTTCCACTACCAGGGGATTGTGAGAGAATCCATACGGGCTGTGGCTGGCCTTGGAGTGCAATTGTCACATACAGAGAAGACAGCACTTTAAGAGAAAAGCGTGGTTTCTAGCACTGTTTTGGAGATGAGGGCGTTAACAGAGTATTACAAGAGCAATCTCTTTCGTTTTAATTAACCATCTGAATTAGTACTACAAAAGACAGGAAGAAAATTTCCTATGCTGGCTGAAAGAGGAATGCAGAATTGTCCCACTTTTGAATTAATTAAGCAAACCGATGGCATCTGCTCTTTCTGGGTAAAAGGGCTATGAATGGTAAAAGGGCTTTGGGTAAGTAATGAGGTCACAGACCTAGCAGGGATGGTTGGAGCTCTAAGAAGCCACAGACCTGCAGAGTGCAAAAGGGAAACAACACTCCAAGTATAACCAACCTTGCTCCTTGCTCACTGTGCATTTGTTAGCTGAGAACAGGCCTAGGCATGAGCAAAGCCACAACATTGTGCTATATCCCTTTCAGTCACACTTCCACAGCATCAAGGCCACTCATGTTATCCAGGACCAAATACTGTACAGTATATGTATATAGGGGCTCCTTGCTTCTTCTCTGAAATCAAGCAGCAATTTACCCTGTTCCTAGGTTAGAAGATCCATTGTAACCATTGGCAGATATAAACTAGAGCTGCAGAGGTGAAGAGAAAGAGGCACACCTACCAAGAATATTCTGACAAAGGAAAGACCAATCTGGATCCTCCCACTGAAAAGGAAGTAACAGCTGGGTCTCAGGCTCACTTTTTTCTTCCTTCCTCTCCCCCGCCCCGCCCCACAGCCCCATGTATTGTGTAAATGGGATTGTAAGCTTAAAGGCAACAGCTGTCTCACTTGTCACTATCTGCACAGTGCTTAGAAACCCAAGGGCCTTTCAAAATGTCTATTTACCGTAGTTATTGCCGTACAAAGTGCTTTGCCTTCAGCCTGCTGATGGCGATGCTGTTCAGGTTGTCACAGGCCTCTTTTCTTGTAGTTGAAGCCATGCTGCCAAATCCAGGGTCTGTCAGCTGAAAAAGTCAGTCCCAGGAAATTTGAAGCAGGCCAGGGAGCAAAGATCCAGAACCTTGAGCATTACATGTTTTTGTAAAAAAGGAAACCGACCCTTTCCGTCAGGGGTCTCAAACATGCGGCCCGGG